GTGGGAGTTATAGGGAGAATAGAACTCATATTTTTGTAGGAGGAGGATGAGGTCATTCTAACAGTATTACACAAAAATTTAATTTTCCAGATACTAAAATTGAAGGGTGAAGTATCTGTGAATGAGGGAATGGTTTAAAAAGTTAAGGTGTATATAGAAGTGAGATACCATGCAATTATTTAAAAGAAAATACTGATGTGTACAAATAATAAGTGAGACAAAAATATGTATGAGGAAAGCACAGTGCTAGATGTGTGTGGGATAACTTGTATGTACAAAGGGGGAGAGTATCTCCTTGTCTTGGCATGAAAAGAAAACTCTGGATGAATACATAGGTAACTAACAAAAAGGGGTGATTTCCAGCGAGAAGGGTCTCAGTGGTGGGAAACTAGATAGATGAGGGAGGAATATGGGAGGAAAACTTACTGTTGAATACTTTGGTTTACGTTATGTATTTCATCGTATTAGCTGTTCACAAAGCCGACTCAAGAGTGAAGGACAGCAGGAGATAGCGATAAAAATTCAGATTCCCTGGTAAATCCTGGCTTTGCCCCTTCTCATTTGTGTGAGGCCATGTTCAGGTTCCCTCTCCATGCCTTAGTTTTCTCATCCACAAAGCTGAATCTTGTAAAGCACTTACAACAGTATCTGTCCTACAGTAAGCTGCAGATGCCATTATTAGTAGTCGAAGTGTTAAAGACCAGTAATTCTCACGTTGCCTCTCAAGTGTCTTATTTTCTCACATTTGTAAATGTATCAGAAACACCCGATGCTTTGTTTTTCCTCTGTGATAATCATGTTTTAACTGAAATGGCTGATAAATGCACATGGAGTTTGAGCCTCCTTATTTCTCTTGGCCTGGTGATTAAGAGCCTGGTCTCAGAAATGGACAGAACTGAGTTCGAATCCCCTAGCCCAGCGCTTGGCAAAGCATGTTGGTTGTTTTTTGTTTTGTTTAGTTTTGGTTTTTTTAGGTGCTGTAAGAGATGTAGAGATGTTTGTGCTGCATTGAATAGGTTTCCTTGATGGGAAAGGCAGTATCCTGAAGTCTGGATGGAAGATCCTGTATTCTGAAAGACTAAGAAGGGAGATCATTCATTCATTTACTCAGTTTTGTATTAATTTCTCTGGTCTAAATCTGCGTTCAGGCAGGTCTCGTTTTATGTCAGCTCTTCCTAGAAGAGTTTGGAGAACTGCCTTTTGGAGCGGGCTGGTAGGATTCTGCACTTGCTCCGGGACTAGCCAACTTTGATCTTTGTAAGAGTTGGCTGATGCCAGCAGCTCACCATCCGTGGGACCTGCCCTCAAGGAGTCCTCTGCAATGGGGATGATTAACGTTTTTTATTTATTTTGGGGACAGAGAGAGACAGAGCATGAACGGGGGAGGGGCAGAGAGAGAGGGAGACACGGAATCGGAAACAGGCTCCAGGCTCCGAGCCATCAGCCCAGAGCCCGACGCGGGGCTCGAACTCACGGACCGCGAGATCGTGACCCGGCTGAAGTCGGACGCTCAACCGACTACGCCACCCGGGCGCCTGCAATGGGGATGATTAATAGCATCCTGTGCACAGGCACCTGGGTGGCTCAGTCAGTTAAGTGTCTGACTTGGGCTCAGGTCATGATCTTACGGTTCGTGGGTTTGAGCCCCACGTTGGGCTCTGTGCTGACAGCTCGGAGCCTGGAGCCTGCTTCAGAATCTATCTCTGTCTCTCCCTGCCCCTACCCCCCCCCCCCAACCAAATATAAATAAACATTAGAAAATGTTTTTTAAATTAAAAAAAATAGCATTCTGGAGCAGTCTCTCAGAAGAACCTGACTCAGGGCATGCCCACTCATAAGGTACCTAACTATGCATAGGGATAGGGGCTATCTCAGGGAAATGAGGGACAAAAGTGGCTCACTGGACTTGAAGGGAAAATACATTATTCCCTAATCGCGATAGTAGATATGACTATGTTTATTTTAAGGGAACTTGGGATAGAGTGGTAAAGCACTTGAGTCGAGCAATCCAGCTACTACTTAGGGAGGGAACAGGCCAGGACTGGAGCCTGGGCCTCACACTTTTACCTCCCCGACTCTGTGTGCTCTTTCCAGACTCGCCCTTTCACTGCTGGGTCCCTAGAGCTTGATTGTAATGTCCGAGTTCCTTCGTTTTAAATAGTTTAAAGTTATGGGGAAGTATTCCCTCAGAAAGGCTCTTGCTTTATTTACTTCATTTTAAATGAATTTTTGAATTTTGAAAGGTTACAGAAATATGGTGTTTTTTGCTGCTGTTAAGACCCATACGTTCCCATTTTCCCTACTATCCAAAAACAGTGGAAACTGAGAAGTTCTGGAGTTAGAACCTTTTCAGTTAACAGGATGTTTTACTTGGGTGCTAGCATGGTAGCAGTGGGAACATTAACATGACATTATCAAGAATTGTATGTCCAAAAGTCTGCTGGCATTTTCGCAGTGTTTTTGTTCAAGCATTATGTGCTCTTAGTGACTGTGGCCTATGCCTTTGACCCTCAAGACAAAATATAAAGATAACTTAAAAATGTGTGTCCTATTTTTAAAATGACATAAACCAACAAAAATCCTTGTGTCCTTGGTATGGCTAAGAAGGTAAGACTTGCCTCTTTGCCCCATATTGATAGGTGCTTTTAAAACTTAAATTATAAAGAAGGGAATGGAGAGTCCCCAAGTTGCCTCAAGGCAGTGGAGGGTGAGGGTGGGAGTTTTGGCTTCCCACCACACTTGAATTATGCCTTTGCCACTTTCTAATGGAACTCATACAAAGCGTCACTTTCCTGATTGTTGTCATGGATGTGTCGCCACCAAGCTGGGTTGTTTCTAATGAAGAGGTGGTGTGTGTGAGGAGCCCAGGAGCCCCTGTGGGTGCGTGCCTCCTGCCAGAGGAGCAGGAGGGGTGGTCGGGGTCAGGCAGGAGGCCTCAGGCCCAAGCTACAGACCTTGGAACAACACTTCAAGGCCTGCATAAAACTGCCTTTAGGGGTGCCTGGGTGGCTCAGTTAGTTAAGCATCCAACACTGGCTTAGGTCATGATCTCACAGTTAGTGAGTTTGAGCCACATGTCTGGCTCTGTGCTGACAGCTCAGACCCTGAAGCCTGCTTTGGATTCTGTGTCTCCTTCTCTCTCTGCACCTCCCCTGCTTGTTCTCTCTCTCTCTCTCTCTCTCTCTCTCTCTCAAAACTAAATTTAAAAAAATGAAAAATGGTACATTAAAAAAAAAACAAACCCTGCTTTTAAAGATGCGTTCGAAGGTGCCTGCTGGTAACGTTCATAAAGCGAAGGACTTTTTCCTCCTTTGTTAGTGTATGTCTTTAGTGCATCGAAATTGGCATGAAAATAATGAATGTGGAGTAGATAAAATGTCAATTCATCAGTGATTGTTAAAATATAAATGTGAAAATAGCCAAATGACTCCCACCTCCCTGATAAAACTGGCCACGAATTACATGGAAACTAAAAGCAAAGCCCTGTTTTTTTTTGCTTTTACTGAGACTTTAAAAATGTACTTATCATCCTCATCCACAGGTTGCTTTTGGAAATAGATCCTGGCTGGTTCCCTCTCCCCCCACCCCCACCCTTCCCGTTCTCGTTCCTTCTGTGTGAACACTCGGCCCATGGAAAGTAAAACTACATTGCTTAATCTTCCCATCAGCCTACATCTCTTTTAACAATGTTGGTATTACATTATAATTATTAGTAGGGATTTTGATTAAAAAATATATTGTGAAGAGTTTTGTTTGCTTCCACTCTGTGAAAAATACTCCATTTTCTAAAATTGAAGGAGATACAGAATGTGTGCATTTCATCACAGAGTTAAGACACATTTTCAGGCAAACAGTCTTTAAATATGTACATGCACTCTGCCAATCAAATTTACATTTTCTGATGTTATGAAACCAGCTTTGTTAGTACCCGTGACTCTGGCTTTTAACGTTGGAAGGAGAGTGGAGGATTAAGGCAGATTAGAGTGTCGGCATAACGTTTGACTCCTTGTGTTCTGTGCGCTCACGCATAAAAGTCCTCCAAATCTGGACAGTGACTGTGGTGATGTGAGCAACAGCTTGAATTTTTGCTTGGTGTGGTGCCTGGTGGGGTAATAGACGAATCGTCCACCTTCTGAATCACTGAATCGGTAACATGTGCCAGCGCTGATGTCCCCTGGGTGTGTGAGGTTTCTGGTGCTGCGGAATTGCCACTGCCTGGGAAGGTTCGACCCAGATAATCAGTGTTAGAGGAAAACATCTGTCTCCTTTCACCGTGTTCCTAATAGGCGTGGATTACACCCGAGAGGCTGGAGAGTCTGCAGAAGAGAGCGCCACTTTCTGGGGTTTAGTAAGAATAAAAGCAGCACTATTACAGCTCCCGTTTACTGAATCAGCCTTGTGTTCCAGGCACCATGTGAGGTGCGCTATTACCCTATCCCTGATGCATTTAAATGGCTGTCATTTCCATAGTGTTGCTTCCTGGTGCTCTGTGAACTTGTGATCTTAAGTAGAGCACGTGGGCCCTCTGGACCGAGAGGCCCACTGCTTTCAAACAGGGATGGTCTTTTGCTAATGTTTGGAGGAAGAGCACTGACCTTTGTGAGATTAAAGGCACTACTGTTTTTATGGTGACGGCACATTTTTGACATTCTGGAGTCTGGAAGCACATATTCGACTTCTATCTTGGTCCTGGGTGTGACTGTCTTTAATGACTAGTGAGTTTTTTTTTTTTTTTCACATATCAAATGTACAAGTATTTAAATGAGGGTGCCTTACATTGATGATGCTACTCTTTTTATTTTAATATTAAAATCTGGGAGTAGAGAATATGCTTTTTAATGGCATTTACAGATGGTTATAGATCTTTTTCCTCCTGGGAAGATGTGACATAGAAGGTTTTATTAAGCATTGCTACTTGTGGAGTGTATGTGTGGGGAAGGAGAATGGGAAGAAGAATCTTAGGAATTTTGCTTATATGTTTTTCTTCTGTTCATTTCTAGTCTTTATAACCTGGCTTCCCTGGAACTGAGAGAGAATCTCCTCACATATCTTCCTGAGTGAGTCTTATGGGGAAGATAAGAGGGGGTTTTGTACTAAATGAATTTCTTCATGTATCAAAAAAAAAGAAGTATTACAATACTTTGTCACAAGGAGATTCTGTGTCTTTTGGAAAGTTTGGGAGATGCCTGCCTTCCCTTACTAGTTTTTCCTTGGTAATATTTACTGCCATGCAATCCAAATGAGTCTTATTTTTGGAAACTAGTCCAAGTGAGGGATACTGTATTGCTCAGCATTTCTAAATACTCTCTAAGAGTTCCTTTATTTCTTTTTTTAAATAGCTCTCTTACCCAGCTGCGGAGACTAGAAGAACTTGATTTAGGAAACAATGAAATATATAATTTGGTAAGTCTGTATTAATGAGAGATTGAGATTTAATTTTGTCCTCAGATATGATCAAAATATACTTCAGGGGAGATCTGTAGGGATATATTTCCACAGACACAGCTTGGCAATACTAGAGAATGTGTTCCAGTTCACACACAGGTTGAGAATTATGTGGGGGTGGGGAGGGTCAGTATTAGATGTGATGCGCGTCAGTGGAAACTACCGGCATTCTTTTTTTTTTTTTAAGTTTATTTATTTATTTTGAGAGAGAGAGAGAGAGAGAGAGCATGCGAGCGAGCACAAGTGGGGGAGGGGCAGAGAGAGAGGGAGTAAGAGAGAATCCAAAGCAAGCCCTGTGCTGTCAGAACAGAGCCCGACACGGGGCTCCATCCCATGAACCATAAGATCATGACCTGAGCTGAAATCAGGAGTTGGACACTTAACCCACTGAGCCACCCAGGTGCCTCCCACCAGCATTCTTGGAGAGTTTTGGGAGTGTTTGAAGGATGGGGGACTTGTATTGGAGAAGTACCAACTAACCTCCTCTATGGTACCCGTTTATTGACTGTTGAAGTAGGAATCTTTCTGAGTGGAAGAGTAATAAACATTGGATCTTTGTTACCATAACATTATTTTTTTCTTTCAGCCAGAATCAATTGGAGCTCTCTTACATCTAAAGGATCTCTGGTTGGATGGAAATCAACTGTCAGAATTACCTCAGGTAAGTGGTGGTTTTACATTGTTTCCTCCAAATAATAAACAACCACAACCACCACTCATGCATTCCCTGCTTCTGCATGAGATTTTCTAGAAGAGGGATCTTGAAAACCAGAAACAATGGTTGAAAAAGCACATTTGGAAAAATATATTGAGCACTCATGCTACACTGCCATAGAAAAATCGAAAGCCTCAACCCATGATTTCTAAAGATAGCAAATGTATCCTTTAATTTGTGAAGTCTGTATTTTATTTCATCCTTGCTCCCCATGTGGCCTACCTCAAGCCCAGTAAATTTGTAAATTATCAGGACCCCTGATTCTTGATGGTATCCATTTCTGCCACTCATTGTGATGTGCCAAATGCTTTGGGATGATTGTGACCACATTCTGTACTGTAATAGTTGATCTTAAAGAAATGTTAAAAGCTTTTATTTAAATTTTTTGCAAATAATGCTTATGGTTTAGCTGGTATATCAGGGTGTTCAAGTTCCTACTATTACCAAATGTAAGAACCATGTTCCAAATGAAATGGAGTCTTACATGGATTTCTAAATACATAGTCCCCTTGTGGAGCCCTAATAAGCAGTCTTGCCTTCTGGTTACATGAGAAAGAAATGTAAACCAACAAGTGCAACAATAAAAAACAAGCTTTTTCCCCTTATTTAATTTAATAATTTAATTGTATTACTGAAATTTGTTCTTGGATATATCTTATAGCCAGTCTTTTTTTTTTTTTTTTTTTTTTTTTTTTTTTTGAGATAGACAGCGTGTGAGCAGGTGAGGGGCAGAGAGAGAGGGAGACACAGAATCTGAAGCAGGCTTCAGGCTCTAAGCTGTTAGCACAGAACCTGATGCGGGGCTTGAACTCCCGGACAGCAAGATCATGACCTGAGCCAAAGTCAGATCCCAACTGACTAAGCCACCCAGGCACCCCTCTTACAGCCAGTCTTTAAAGTCCGGGTATATTTCATGATGGTTTAGGTGCTGATATTTTATGTGTTTGAGAGAGAGAGAGAGAGAGAGAGAGAGAGAGAGAGAGATAATTTTAAGCAGCCTTCACGCCCAGCACAGAGCCCACTGTAGGGCTTGATATCACGACTGTGAGATAATAACCTGAGCCAAAATCAAGAGTCGGATGCTTAAACTACTGAGCCACCCAGGCACCCCAAGGTGCCGATAGTTTAAAGCCAATCAGATGCTTAGGTGTCTGCTCAGTCATGTGAAGCAGGTGTGACGGGGCTGTGCACTTCATGAGGAATGCTGTATTAACGCATGGAATCTGACACTAGGAGAAAGTACTCAGTTCTGTGGTATGGTTGTAGTTTTATAGCACTGGACTTACTATGACCGCACAACTAAGGGAAGTAAGGAACTAATTGGAGTCTGTTTCTGAGGTTTTGCTGCGTTTGAGGAAAGGAGACCGGTTAGCAACTGAAGGTTTGATTAATACGGAGATTTCTCTAGGAAATCATGCAAAATCCTGGTTGAGAGAATTCCAGTTACTTTGGGAGTCAGAGGATGGGGAATAAAAATACCATGAGGTTATCAGGAAAGTAACACACCAGCTCTGGGACATGATGGGGAAAGAATGTATGTGTGTATAGATGTGTGTAAATGATTGTGTACAAAATGCCACATCTCGAACACAAATTAGAACTCCAATGATCTTGTTGTAAATGGTTAAACATCTCATTCATCCCTCTTTAGAAACTTCTGTTGGGACACCTGGGTGGCTCAGTCAGTTAAAAATTCAACTTTGGCTCAGGTCATGAGCTTGTGATTCGTGGGTTTGAGCCCTGCATCAGGTTTTGTGCTGACAGCTTGGAGCCTGTCGCTTGCTTCAGATTCTGTGTCTCCCTCTCTCTCTGTCTCTCCCCTGCTCGTGCTCTGTCTCTCCTTCTCTCTCAAAAATAAATAAACATTAAAAAAATTTTTTAAAAAGAAACTTCTATTAAACCAGGACTCAACGCATCAGATAGTCTAAATAATCGGAATTATTTTCCTATTGTCATTTCCTATTGTCAATGCAAAACATTGTTAAGAGGAATTAATGAAAAGGTAGAACAATGTCAAGGGTCAGGCCTGAAATCAATAGAAATGCAGTGTGGTTTCCTCCAGACAGGAATTACAGGGGCGGGTTCACAGGATGTGTATTAGGTAGGAGAGGAACTTGAAAAAGTAGATCAGACCAAATTAAGTATAGATTGAAGGATTTGTACTTATGTAGGCATCAAGGAGCCACTAGACATTTTAATTTTTTTAGCGGAAGGGTGGTCTGATTACATGCTTAGAGCTAGCTGCATTTCCAGGAGGGAAATATGGAAACAACAGTCTATAGCCCAGACGTGGACAGGGAGTGTCTCACGGTTGGAGCTAACTGTCTAGGTGAGAGGGGGAATTTAATGTAGTGGCAATGGGACTGGAAAAGTGGAGGCCGTTATAAAAGAGAAAATATGTATTTTGTGAATGGAAGGTAAGATACCTCTTGAACAGAACACTGGACTCCTTGAGGTTCTTTCTCCACTCCTTGGATGGCCTGTTGTCTCTGAAAGCAGTACGCTTGCTTCTGTCTTCTGTCAATGGTGAAGGTGTCAGTGGGTCTGGAGGCCCCAGTATTGCCGGGGTGCAGTCACATTGTTGTTTGTTGTAACAGGTACTACTGGTCATGGGAGATAAAAAGGAGATGGTCTCTTAACAGAGAAAATCTCAGGGTCACCCCGAATTCTAAGCTGCTTACCCAAGGGATTGATTCTAAACCTGAAGAACTGGATTCCAGACTCCTTTTGTTTTTTTTTAATTATGTTACCCTACAGTCATTTGTCCTCTCTTAGTGCCAGTCTCTTCATCTGTTAAGTGAGAATGATTCCTTGCCTGCCTGAAGTTGGGGAGCTTGGCATCCCTCCCAGCTCCGTGTCTGTGATTGATACAGCTTCCCGTTTTCATTGGAAGGGGGTCTGGAAATTCACTCCAGCCTCCTCCTATAGATAAACACTAAGGAAACATCCTCAGCACTGCTTTGGGAATTGACTGTGAAAAATCCCTGTAAGAAATTCCTCTGTACTGTAGCAGGGTGAAGCATGAGTCTCTTTTTCTGTGTCACTGGTGTAGGAAATAGGAAATCTGAAGAATCTGCTGTGCTTAGATGTCTCTGAAAACAGGTTGGAGAGACTTCCTGAAGAAATCAGTGGCCTGACTTCGTTAACAGATTTAGTCATTTCCCAGAACTTACTAGAAATGATTCCGGATGGCATCGGTAAGTATTGAAAGGAATTGCCTTCTAAAGATGTTGGCTGTTGTCTTGAGCCTGTGGGACTCACTCCTTTGATCCTTTGGTCACCACTCTCAGATGCTGGGGATGGGAGTCCTTTAGTCTCCTTGTTTATTTGTTCTTAAAGAAGGAATGCAAAGAATGTTCAATACAATTGAAGTTTCTCAGTATGCAGGTATTTCTGTCCTCCTGGTTTGGTAACAGTTGTACCTGTTGTTACTTCTAAGTGTCAACTCATCTATTTCACCCACATCTCCTTTCAGTGATTTCCGTGGAGATTAGTCTGAATAATAGAATATATTTCAGGCATGTGAGCAGTCACTGAGAGATTTCTCCATGAGCACCCTAACAGTTTATGAGAAAGTAACCCTGACCTTATGCACGACCTAGGGAAGAATGGTGTGCTTGGGTTGAGCCTTTTATAGTTCTTTGAGAATAATCTTTTCCTTTAACCGTCCTATGCTGTTTCCTTTAAAAAGAAATTAGTCCAGACGTTTCCTTTACCATAAAGGCATGCAGTTCAGCTTGAGAAAATAAACGCAGAGAGGATATAAACAGACACAGACCAGGAGCTCCACCATAGCAAAGCCACTTAGAACTTGTAAGAAACTACCTTTAACCAAATAGTTAACATAGGCTTGCTGTCTTTGACCTTTTTTTTTTTTTTTTGACTTTTATTCAAAATATCAAGGGAAGTTTCTGAAAGTTTTTCAGTAATTGGAGAAGCTATATGACAGAGGACCACTTCCTTTCTGCTGTTTGGTCAAGATGAAAGCAGTAAGTGATAATAGCATCTTGGCAGGAACACAGACATTGCCTTTTGCTTCAGACTGGTTGGAAAATTGATGGGGACTTTGACTCTAGGTAGAGATGTTGGGTGAGAGTGATACATGGCACCCGCAAACAGTTTGTAGGCACTGGGGACGTTTAGTTGCTTGGCATAGGAAGTAGGAGGTGTCCGATGGCTGACTTGAAGCACTTGAAAGGCTGCTGTGGAGAAGAGAGGTCAATGTGTTACATCTTCTAGTTCAGGTGAGCGCAAGGAAAAGATCTGAGAGAAATACTGGCTACAAATTAGTTTGGGCTGCTTAGTGAAGGGATGGGAACCCTGTCAACTGAAGTGTTCAAAGAGAGGCTGCAAGACCACTTGCCAGAAAACTGTTAGGGAGACTCCGTTGGGGGATCTATCGATTCAATTCAGTGTGACCTCTCCTGCCAGTGAAAACAGTTGCAAAGCCTCTGGGGACAGTGTTAGTAGGTTATTGATGATGCTAAATAAAGAGCTCAAGAATCCATTAGTTCTCCTGCCTTGCTCTGTGACCACACACAAGGCAGGTTAATTTTTTCAACATGTCCCTTTCTCCGGCTTGACGTCTCTTTTAAGATACAGGCTGTTTTCTGATTTTACTGGGGACTGTAGCATCATGCCAGCCTCTCTCAGTAGATAGTGAGGATGTCTGCTTTGTAGCTTCATTCCCTTGAGTTATAGTTGAACACGAGAATCCAAAAGCTTTAGGCTTTCCTTCACTCAGTGGGGATTTTGAGGATGCTGTGGTCACTCCATTCTTCTTTTCCATGGCCTGCGGGCATCGCCAGAAAGTCTAGTCTTTATGCTCTGAGTGAAATACATTCAGTTCTTCATGTGGCTTTTCAAAGATTGCCATTTTCCTCTGCATACCTAGAAACACTTCATTGTAGGAATCTTCACTGAGGCATTTTCATTCATAGGTGATAGAATAAACTGTATTGTTTTTTGTTTTTGGTGAGGACGATTCTTGGAGTACAATGAAAGCCTCTCTCCTTTGTACATGATACATTTCATGTTCTTAAAGATGCATCAAGAGCTAGCTGGTTGTTTTTCTGTGAATTTTCCGGCTTTGATACAGTATTTTTATGTAATGACTTTTAAAACGATTTGTTTCTAATTGCTGACTGTTTCTGATGTTCTGATAACATTTAACTCTCAACCTTTAGTGATCTAAATGTGAATGATGTGGTTTCATAATGTGAAAAGTTGGGTGAGGAAAAAAAATGAATAAGTGTTTAAAACAAGAAAGAACAGCAGATAAGAGATACCAAGTGATGGTTAGGAAGACAGTTGTAACTAATGAGTTGAAATAATGCTTTTCCAGGAAAACTAAAGAAACTGTCTATCTTGAAAGTGGATCAGAACAGACTCACACAGTTGCCTGAAGCAGTTGGAGACTGTGAAAGCCTCACTGAATTAGTTCTTACAGAAAACCGGCTCCTGGTGAGTGTGGCTTGCACGTTCAAATGGATGCAGAGAGTGTGCTTTCTATATGTCAAGACTTAGAAGGGTAGATTCTACTTACAATTTGGGTGGGCTACATGGAACTTTTCTCATGTTACATCTAAAAAAGGGACTTGTAAAGCAAATGCATGACATAAAGATGATTGGCTTTTAACCTGCTTCAGTGAAGAGAATGGTATTTAAGCTCCCCTTACAGAGGTTTCCAGGGAGGTGCAGGAATGAGCCACTGATGCCTCTGCCATGGTGTCTGAGGACCGCCAGAGCAAATGTTCTCTCAGGGCTCTTCGAGTAAATGGAAAGAGAGAGAGAGAGAGAGAGAGAGAGAGAAGGGGAGAAAACGGTGGTTGACCACGGGGTGGGGGGTGGTTAGTGTGAGTGCTCTCTGGAGGACTGGGTGTGGGTCTTTGATCCTACCCCGCCCTAGAAATTGGGGATGGAGGTGGCTGCAAGTGCCCCTGCCTTAGGCCGGGCTTCCCTTCCTACCAAGGGCAGAGCTTTGGCCTACACCACCTACCAGGGGCAGTCTCGCTTGCTCTCACTTCCTGCCGCTTCCTCTGCTTTCCATCAGGCCCTCATTTATTACTTCATCTTCTCCTTTTCCTCTTCTTTTCATCGTCTTGTAGCAGCTTTTGCTTCAGTTTACTTGCCTACCTTTCTCCCTGTATTTTATCCCTGTATTTCCTACCCTACTTACCCTTCTTCTTTTTCCTCTTCTCTTCTCCTTTTTTATAAAAAGTGTAAGTAATGTTCTTGAGGTGGAAAGAGCAGAAAAAGCATGAGTGGGTAGGACACAGAGCTGGTGGGGGAGCCTGGCCACATCTCTCCTCAGGCAGCCTCCTCTGGCGGCTGTAGTGGAAGTGACCTAACCTTCCCATCCTACTTTGTGGTTTCAGGCTTACAGATAGTAATCACGACACTTATAAAAATGGTATTCATTCACCCCTGGCTTGCATCAGAGTGTTGAAGCTCCCCCCTTCATCAGGGTACTGCCTGGCTCCTTTAGTTCTCTGTGCACCCCACTCCTCCCACCCTGCTCACCTTGTTCCTGTTCCCATGCTGCTGTCCCCGTGCCACTCACGGCACCCGTGCTCAGGGTTCTTCTGATTTCCCCTAGCCATCTGGCTTCCAGTCATCCAAGCCATTCTCCCACTGTGGTTCTCCAAGGTGCAGATAGTTAAGGGATGAATCTTGAGGTGCAAATTGTTTAACACTGAGGAACATTCATTACCTCTTTGCTAGGTATTTCTCTGTTCCCAGGTCTGTCCCTTTGACTTCATTTTATTGAAACATATTCCTGTTTTAACAAAAATGCAGAATATTTCATTGTACATCTTCCAAATGAGCTTTAGTGTGTCTGATATTCAGGAAGAACTGCTATGTCTCTTGCTGGATGAAATTATATTCTTTAAGTCCTTGAGAAGATCTGTTTTACTGTGAGTCACGTCTCTGAAAATAAATTAATAATTAAAATGTTATTTTAACAGACCTTACCTAAGAGCATTGGAAAACTTAAGAAGTTGAGCAACTTGAATGCAGACAGAAATAAATTAGTGTCTTTACCAAAAGAGGTATGTGCTTTAAAAAAACAATAATAATTACAAAGAAATAACAGCATATATGGATCAGAAATATCAGATGTTTTAAAAGACTTAATGTGGTGCTTTTTAAATGTTACGTACTCTCATTTGTGGGCACAGAGGTGGTCGGAGGAGTTGTATCAGAGAACAATCATCAGTAACATTAAAGAGAGTAGGTGGGTCCAGATGACTCTGAGCATTGTTGAGAAAGGTGAATTGATAGGATTTTAAGTGCCAGGAAGGGAGATTTGACGTTTCTGACTGACATATAGAGAATGGTGACACCATTTGGGAGTTTAGCAGAGGAGGAAGTAGATGACGTTGGGTCTGAGTTTAAAGTGAAATTAAACCACTTCCTAAGACATTGGAATTATAAAGGTGGACCTTGATGCAACCTTTTTACTGGGCAGAGACTGATACTGGGCCGTGTTCATGTCCAGGTGAGAGTGAATGAACTCTTCACAAAGGCATTCACATAGAGGAATGTGAATGGGAAGCTATAGCCAGACTCTTAGGTGTTTTTTTTTGTTTGTTTGTTTGTTTGTTTTTGTTTTTGCCAATGGTCCAACCAGAAGAACAGACCATCACCATTCACTGTGGGGAGTAGTTGTGCAGACTTAGAGGCATGTAAATTCTGGAAAGGGAGGTGGAAATGCTGAGAATGAGAAGGAAATTCAGAGCAGATGCAACAGAGAAGTATTTAGTGTGATGTTTAACAAGAAGGCTTACCTTCTATTTGGAACTAGGAGAATTTGGAGATGAGGAGTACCGAGGTTGATTTTTTTGTTAGCCGTTAGCCTGAAACCCCGTTTCAGCCACCCTTCTGTCCCCTGTCAAATGTTGGTGGGCCCCCCCCTCCTTTTGCTAGGCCTCACATGAAAAAGTGTGGTATCGTGTGATATGATCCCTGCCCAGGCAGAGTGTCCTTCCTATTCCTGTCTTGACCCTTTCCTACATCTCCCTTGGGATGATTTTAAACCTGCCATCCCACCAGCCAGAACCTGTGGGGTTCTTATTTCCCTAGGACCCTTCTGAACTTGGTCTGGTTTCTCTTTCCTCATCTTCACACTGTATCCTCACTGTCCCAGTCATCTGTCTGGGCAAGACGGCCAACATTCCTGAGGGGAAGCATGGCAAGTGTTTGTTATAAATTCGGCCATATTCTGACCCACCCTTACTGTGAGCACCAGCACTTGAATGAAACTGTTCCCCACAGAAAGATTTAAGTACATCTCTGCTAAGCTGGACCACAAATAAGAGATTTTGCTCATCAGACATTTTGGTTTCCACCTCACAGTGATAAACCACAACACAGAGCTGATATTCTGAATGTTGATTTTACTCTTGTTGAATGGGTAATAGACCAGACCCGTAGTCACGTGGCCAGAGAAGTAGGAAAGATTTAATTCTTGCTTTCTCAGTGCCACATAGTAGCCAGAGTTCTCATGTTTGTTAACTCACTGAATCTTCATAACAGGTGGGATCATGAGGGAAATTTTCTCATTTTAGAGATAAAGAAACTGAGGCCAGTGAAAACTTTTCCTTAGCAAGCCTCACATAGCTAGGAGTTGGTAGAATGGACACTAGAGATGTGTCCTGACAGTGAGCCCACTGCTTTTGCACAGGCCAAGAAAGCATGACCACTCGTCTAGCCTGTTCATTGGTGTGCCCTTGAGTTGGTAAAGAAAGGTGAAACTATCTGTAGTGTGGACATGTTAGAAAATTAATACATTTTAGGAACACGTTCAAAGTCAGTGCCAAAGGGAGTGGTTGGAAGTTGAATGGCCATCCCCAGTAAGCTTCCCCACCCAGCCTGTCTTCCCTGTCCCTCTCTTCTGGTTCTCTTTTGAAGGACCATTCTTTACAAAACTTTAACATTTTATTTGTAAAATTATTGCTATCTTTTCGGCATCCGTCCTCTTTAATTCTGAGAATGAAACTTGCACTCAGGGTTCAGAGATTATGCCTACCACATGCCGTGTCGTGTGTCTGTGTAAGTCTCTTAGAACAGCTTTTCACAATGTGGAAAGTGAACATGGTGTGAAAATAGTCCTGGCTTCAAAGCATTTTAGTTAGCTGTCACGTGGTATCTGTTCTGTATGAAATTGTGGTTGGTTTTCTGGCATGTAGAGTTTATAAAGGAGTAAAGTCTGTGCCCCTTCCTTCAGGTTTGAGGTAAATCAGAGAATGTTTAAAGCAGAATCAGCTCTTTTCTGGAACACCTTCACTAGTGACTACTCATGCAAACTCACCTCCCAGAGTAGGAAAATGCCCTGAGCCCATGTGCCTAATTCTGCTGCGGGTTAAAGTTTGGTGACCCAGGAGAAATGGCTGAGTGCTTGTTGTTGACCATTGTGGCTGAGCAGCCAGACCACTCAAGTCCTCCTTACATCGAAACATGTCACATTGGTCTGGGCAGCACCAGTGCACCATGAGTCTCTGTGCAGTGAGTGTGGTAGGCCCTGTGACCGTGTGTGTGTGTGTGTGTGTGTGTGTGTGACCGGGTGGGTGACAGAAGGGATGGGCCTTGTGCACTTGCTCTGCCTCCAAGCTTGATACCATTTGATCATATCCTATACTTTCCTGATTGGAGTCTTCCCTTTCAAAACTTGACTGCTTTCTCTTGAACAATGAAGTTGCATGCATGACCTATCTAAACTACAATGCTGACCGATTCAATGTATATGCCAAAAATCCATAATTGTTTTAATTGCTATTGGTCTGGTGTGCCGTGTGGTTCTTCCTATTTTTTGCCTTTCTTTAATTTCATATTATTGTATATCGTCAGTTTTGTATAGCACAGCTCCTTAGTCTTTTGCAGCATTTATTTGTATTTTGTTTTTTTCCCAAATGAGGGGAAAATGTTTGTACTGTGGGTCACAATAATAGATTCTGTTTGTGTTTTGTGGTGTTATTTGTAGTAAACATTTGCAAATCAATGAATGTCTCTTATTTTCTTAATTGTTAGCTGCTTGGAAATTTAGAAAAGTCGGGTAAACTTGTTATCTTGTAAGTATTGTTCAGACCACAGTTGCATCTCTAACTTCCATTTTGCTTTTTAAATGCATGAAGATTCAAATCGACTGACTGCTTTGTGTGTTCCTCATTGTAAAATATTGTACATTTTCCTCTAAACTCAGGTTGTTTTTTTTTCAAAATGACTGCATGGCCTGGAACCTTATTTTGTTATGTGTTTGTCAGATTTGTTCAAACTATTCTCTCTCAAAAGGATGCTTATCTGTGAGTTACATTTTAAGTTATTGAGAAATTCTGAAAGACGTAACGTGGCAGCTCATGTGTCTTCACTCAATTCTGGTTTGTTGCCACAATTCTCTCTCTAGTGGAAAGGCTAGATGTGCTTTATTTGCTACATGTAGCATGCTTCCGATTTTTTCAGCAACTTATTTGTGTCTTTCATTTCTCATCCTGTTGTAGAAGCATGAACGCTTCTGGGAAAAGAAGTCTCCCTAAAAAGCTCATGTTTTTGAAGAAGAGACTGTGTTACATGATCATGGGCAGACAGGGAGTTGGTTTATGTGCGATCGTGGGTATGATGAAAGAGAGCCAGCAACTTTATAACATTCCCCAGCCAAATCGTACCTTTAAACAACCTGCCCCAGCTAAAGAGATCCTGGCCAGAAGAAATTGAACATGTGTCCAAGCTTAGAATCCAGTCTTTGGTCTCCATCAGGAAAAAATGAAAGTGATCTTGACTCCATCATATGTCTACAGTCACATGAGACAAGATAGGATTGGCAGATCATTCATCAGAGCTTTTTTTCCCCCTTTTTTTAAATGAGGCAATCTCTCAACATTAATTACCCATACATATTGTTGTGATTTTCATAAGTATCTGTGCTGACAGTTCATTTTTGTGGATAGTTTTCTGTCTTCTTACTACCATTTAATGTAAGCTTCCATCATATTCTGAAATTGATTATTCATAAATAAAAGAGATGAGATAAAACCTAAAAATACTAGAATAAAGTATAGTTGGCTATTGGATATCAAAATGGAGAAGGCATTCCTAAACTTGAAAGAGGAAGTAGGTTGTAAAAGAGACAACTGATTGATGTGTCTATGTGAAAATTAGATTTCTGGTGGTCAAGAAGGTAAAGTCAGCCTGGGGGCAAGGGGACATTTATAACATCACAACCGAGGGAGGTCTCTCCTTACTTTGCTTGAAATCCTTCCAGATCATTGAGAAAAAAGATAGTCCCGCTAGGAAAAAAGCAGACAAAAATAAAAGCAAAGAACCCATCATAAGAAACAATAAGTGATTCAGAGAATTAAAAATAGAAATGGCTATGCACGTGAAAAAATTTTTAGCCTCATCAGTATTCACAGAAATGTTAGTGGAAGCTTTTTGACCTATCTTATTTCAAGATTAAAAAAAATAATAAGGATACCAAATGTTGGTGAGGGCATGGGAAAATGTATATTGTCCTAGAAGAATAACTTATTACAGGTTCTCTGGAAGGGAGTAAAGTAATAGGAAAACCTTTAAGAGTATTCATACCCATTGATTCTGGAATGCATACTTCTAGGGCTTTGCCCTAAGAAAACAATTATGGACACACATTAAAATCACGCCCAAGAAGATTTCTCACATACGTAGAGGCTCACAGGTGATATGTGCCACATCAAGCACGTACAGGGGCAGCTAACCTGTGCCAGGCGCTGTGTTGAGGGATTTCCTGCATATTTTTGTCTGATTTTCACAGCAGTTCTATGAAGTGTGGGTGAATCATGATCCACATCCAAGAGACTGTGAAAGTGAGACTCAGTGTAAGGAACTCACCCAAGGTTACACGGGGAAGAAATGGCAGAACCAACTAGCCATGTCTAATGTGGGAGCTTTGCGCAGTGATCTGTGAGACTTCTGGAGAATGAAATACTTACGTAATCAGTAAAAATCCTTTTAGAAGCATAATGACGTGGGAAGACGTTCTTGGTGTCATATGTAAACTGAGGTGCTGAAGATCGAGCGTTGGTCCTAATTTTGTTGAAGTGTATATACATAATCAAGTATATGGCAATACTACTAAAAGATTGTACTTCAAAATGTTCATACTGATTGTCCCTTTGTGATAGAATTTGATCTGAGTTATTTTTTTTCATTGTGCTTTTGTGTGTGTGTGTGTGTATGGTTTTTATTTTCCAGTCAACGTAACTTACTGTTTTATAATTAGAAAAGAAGAATGCCATAGCTATTAGTGGATATTTTGATGTCAGTGGCCCAATAATTCAGGAAGTCCCAAAGCCACATGATTTCCAAAATATTTATGAAATAGGAACATTCAAATAATATGCCACGGATGATGATGGGAAAGATAAAAACAGTCTTTGGTTTCTAAATTACGCATATTATTACAGCTCAAATTATATTTTGACCAGATTTTGCTTATTGTACATTTTCCTTTTTGCCAGTGAAATGTGGGTTCCATTCTGTTACATAGAATGTTAACAGGCAGATACTGAAGGAAAATGAAAGTTTCTTCACACTTAGGGCAGGCATTCAGAAAGTGGAATATAGGTAGACCAAGGGTGACTAATAGAGGCTTTCACTTTGAATCTCTGAATGTGATTATCTTCTCTAGAGTAATGTCACCTGTAGGTAGTAGTTAATACCTAGTGAAGGCTGACCTGGCTAAAGGTTTGCTTGGTGAAGTGCAGGTCCCATCTCCTTCAGATGGATTATATCGGATCCAAACAGGGAAGGAAAATATCTGCAGTTAAGGGACACGGAACAGCGAAACAGAGGTTCTCAGCTACATTCTGTAGTTCTCCAAGTCCGACCCCTTGTATTCCGGGAAGGTACTATTATGTGGTTTGAGGAAGTTTAAAAATACCAGCTTCCTACGTAACTGGTAATAAGTTATTTAAACAGTGACCCTGCTTCCCAGAATTCCTCAGTGACACAGGCATTTCATCCCAGTGACCACTAAGGACCCTGTAAACTCTGCCTCCTGAGCCCAAGAGAGAAAGCAGAAATACATATGAACAATATGTATAACGCAATACTGAGCTCATGTTAGTGCTTCACTGGCATTACAGTCATGGTGTATTTATCACGGTGACATTTTGTCGCTGTGGTGCGTGGTTGGGGGAGAGAGTTTGAAGCTCAAGTGTGTTCTGGGGAGAGCTCACCAGCATCGGTACACTTCCAGCAACTTAGTACGTCGGTGTTGTCTGCACTCGCTATTTGGATCTGGGGCTTTCGCTTCTTGAAAAGACCGTAACGCTCATGTTTATTTGCCAGCCACATTTACTAGTCCAGGTTCTATGATAGGTGCTAAATTTTATTTGTGGTTTCATTCAGTTTAGCCCTGATTGTTACTTTTGGTTAAAGACCACAGAACACATGACAGAAGCTAGATTCCAGCCCAGGTCTGTGTGATCTCAAAGCATCCACTCCATGGCACCACTTCCCTCCCTAAGGTCTATAAAGAACTGTGCCTTTTGAGTTATGGTTTTTACTGCTTAACAATTTTTTCTAAAAGCCAAAGGTTCGTGGCATGCCTTCCTGGCTGATTTGGAAAGAGGTCTCTGTGTGACTGTTTGCCTGGGACAGCATGTGCCTCTGAGGGTGATGAAGGCATCCCCAGCACGCTCTGCAATAACACTTGCTCTTTGTTGGCATTGTTTTCTGAAAACCTTAGACAATAGAGATCAGGAGGTCACTCTGCCCGCCGCCGCCTTGACAACCCAGAGTGCCTAGAAGGCTCTTGAATACAATTGCTTTCCACCCCTTGAGGTCTCAAATGGGTATAAGATTAGAATGGGACAGGAAAAAGAAAAAAATAAATAAATGAGACTATAAGCACAGGAGACAGCTCCCACACTCCAGTGGAAGTTGACACTATTTCCCCCCAAATACTTGAGTGTTTACTTGTCCAAAACTTTCATTGCTCTAACAACGATTAGAGCCTTCTCTGACCCATTGCAATTAGTTAATTAATTTTTGTAACAGACAATATATGTCCATGGTACAGATTGAAAACGTTCACATGGTGTAGTATTAGGGCCCCCAAACAGATATCCTACAGGTGGCTGGAGCAGTGGACAGACAGCTTCATGACAAAGCGTCCCAAATTATGATGCAGTGTCAGCTCTGTACACTGCTCCGGGAGTTTTATTTTGCCACTGTGAGGGTTGTGTATGTGAATAACTGATATCATCTGCTTTGGCTCCCTGCAGTACGGACAAATCTTATGTCTTCAAAGCCAGGCCAGGATCGTAAGGGTGAGGGGTGTCCAGCCTCAGCCTCGGGCTGATCTGGAAGACCTTCCACATGGCATACAGGCCCACCGCTGACCCCAGTGCAGATACCCCTCCACATGGAGCAGGGCCACGGGGGGTTCCCTTCCATGAGGGGCTTGGGTATTCCTGCCCATGAGTAGATCTCTTTTGGGCTCATCTCAGTTTATCAGAGAGAATCTAATCATGTCAATCCTCTGAAGATTCACAGTTTTGAATCCTTGCATGGTATTCCTGGGCATCTGAGTAAAACTGATGATTGATTCCCTTCCTCAAGGGAGGGAAGAATGCCAAGCCCCTCAAAGATCCTGTTGCACCCCTCTTTTAGGACATGATATGGGGGCCCTATGTTTATAGAAGCTAAGAGAGGACACTCTAGTGTTTTCTAGAGAAAACAAGAGTTGTTTGGCTTTCATTGCTACACATAGAAGCAGGCACTAACTTTAAGCAGCAGCCTTTCACTAGTTAGTAAACAAGTAAACATTAACTGTATAAACACGTCTAAATGAGAAAAGTTGGTAGGTAGATGGGATGGGTACGGTACTTGCCAAGCACCCTGGTTATATGTACATGCACGAATTAAACAGCTTGGTGAAACCATCTGTCAGAGGGCCTGTATAGACCATAATTACGAAAGAAACGCAGAGAGTGCTGCATTGGTGTGGACCGGTGGGTTTTGGGAAGACATGATGATGTAGAGGATGTTTAGCTAATATTGGATGGTTGATAAGATTTAGAAGGACAGAAAAAATAAGAACATTTCTATAGGAAACAGTGGGACCCAGATGATGGATTTTATTTTTATTTTGTTATTTTTAAAAATTATTTATTTTGAGAGAGAGAGAAAGTGTGAGAGAGTGCAATCAGGGGAGGGACAGAGGGACACAGAGAGCAAATAGGGGAGGGGCTGAGAGAGAGGGAGAGAGAGAATTCCAAGCAGAATCCACACTTGTCAGCACAGAGCCCTACACAGGGCTCAATCCCATGAACCGTGAGATTATGACCTGAGCCAAAATCAAGAGTCAGACGCTTAACTGACTGAGCCCTCCAGGTACCCCTAAAATGATGTATTTTAGAGGACAGTGAAAGCACCAGTTTTGCTGGGATGGGAAATGTGAACACTGAGAAAGAATGGGGACAAACTAAAAGTCTTTCCACATATCTGGGTGTTTTCCATTTTAGATGGATTTTCATGTTTCCTTATGTTTATTTTTCTTTTACATCCACTATGGTTAAATACTGTGGTTAAATGTATTATCTCAGAATCTTTATATGAACTCCTAAGGGAAGCCATGATAAGATTGTTCATGAAGATAATTATGTAGCAATTTCATAAATATGCCTTCTTCTCTTTGAGATACATACATACACACAACACGTGTCATAGGAAAGGGCATAAGATGTGTTCAGATATCACTGAAGATGCAAGTCTCTTGCCCCTCCTCAAGTGGGAGGCTGTGGAGTATTTTTCCATGTGTTCGAGAGACATCAATAGGTTCCTTCATGAGCCTTTTCTCGCAGCCGCCCTGGGTGAGGATAGCGAGTACAGGGAGAATGTAGTTCTGTATGGAGTCCTGAATGTTGTTGTGTCTGAGATCAAGTTGTGTTTCCACCCTCTTGGTCCAGCTTTCCTGACCATAGGAACCAGAGCCAATTTGTTCAAGAGGATGGTTGAATTCTTTTGTGCTTCTGTTCTTTTTTTGAAGACTAGATCCAAGCAAAGCTCAATTACCTTTGAATCGCTTACTTTAAAAATAAATGGTAATCAAATTTGGTGTGGATACAGATAGTGATACACTTCTACCCACATTAGTTTTACCAGATTAATGTATGTATTTACCAAATTCAATTTTTGCTAAAATAGTATTAATTTTGCAGTTGTCAAAGGAAAACGAAAAATGAATTTACCAAATTAAGTTGTGAATAACCGAAAGCTATTAAAAGATGTATGGTGCAAATTAGTGTACTGTGTCATCTATCAGATGTCTTTTTTTCCCCCTCCCTCCCTTCCTCTCTTTCTTTCTCTCTCTCTCTCTCTCTCTCTCTCTCTCTCTCTCTCTCTCTCTTTCTTAAATGAACTGGAACACTGGGAATACTAAATTTAATATAATGGGCAGGTCTTCAGAGGGGTGTATATGGATCATCCTTGGCCTTATTTTTGAAACTTAGAATTTTCAGTCTCCCATATTACCAAACAATAATTGTCTGGACCTGTGTAGCTTAGTTAACATATTTAAAAGACGCGGTTGCATTAGATAGCAGTGGAAAATGACTTGCGTTTCAGAGTGTAAGTTTTGAACCGTCCTGTTTCTTTTCGTGATTTAATTTAGGCTCTGAGTTTCATGTATTGCAGAGATTTTTAGGACCTTATTGGACTACTTAGTACTTTGTATGATTTAAATTAATCATAGTTGGTCATCAGTGTCATTTTATGCATCCTTCTCATGCCATTTGGTAAACAAGATACTCCACTCACACCATCTTCCAAAAAAACCTGGAAAAAAAGCCTGTATTTTCTTTCTCATTGTAGATTGGCGGGTGCTGCAGCCTCACCGTGTTCTGTGTGCGTGACAATAGACTGACTCGGATACCTGCAGAGGTGTCCCAGGCAACAGAGCTTCATGTCCTAGATGTGGCAGGGAACAGGTAAGCATGTCCTGGTTTGCTTTATTTGAGAAAAAGAACCAAATGTTCATGCACCCCAACCTTTGCCATCTTGCCTTTGCACCGTCTTCTAGAATATATACCGATGAGTCGAATGACCCAGGGCCCAGGAAGTTGTTAGTCTGAGAGCAGGGACACTGGATCATCGGACAGATGAGGGACAGCCTAAGTGTGGGGCACTTTGAAGTTGAAGTGGACACTTTTGTGGAAATGCTTCTCAGAACAGCAGTATGGTGATGTAAGGGAAACAGCACTGTCTGAGACCTGGGATACTTGGGTTTTACTTCAGCTTTTATAGCTAGCTTTTGTACGTCATCGTGAGCCTCTGAGTTTCCTCATCTGAAGAATGAGCTTGAATGAGTTTGAACGAGATTTGAACCAGGGATCTTGATGTGCTCTGCTGGTGATTCTGAACCCCCTGAAATTGTAAATAAAATTGTATCCAGGGATGCTTTTCCGGCCAAAGGATAACACAGCTAATGTCAGAATCACCAAGTGATCCATCGTCTGTGATAAAGTGAAGAGCCACCTGACGAGTGTCCCCAAGGTCACAGCAGTGCATTTCTCAAGTTCTGGGGTCAGAGGTCATGGTGGACTGCTCACTGGTTTCTGGAATATGCCTTCTCTTCACCTTTGTAAAATACAGATTTGTTTCAGTCATTCTGTACTAGTTTCATCACCTCGGATGGTACACGTGCTTTCTTTCCCCCGAGCCTAGACCAGCTACTCTTTCTAGCTGGGACCCCCTTCTCTGGCTCCCACTTGTATCCCTCATCGCTCATGCTCTCATTTTCACCAGGGAGCCTTCTTCTCTTGGAGCCTGCTTTTTTTTTTTTTTTTTCAATTCTCCCTAACATAGCACTCAGCACCGTATGATAAATGTGTGTGTAACCATATAAACCTAACAGTGCCTGAAGTTAAATGTGGCACCTGTGTCACTGTGCCATTTATCCCTGCACAGTGCCTGGTACTTACAATAAAAGCCTGATAAATTCTTGTCGCCCAAATGAAAATGTTAAAAATGTTAGTTTTGTAGAGTGAATAGTAGGCCACTGCGAAATGCCTTGTGTCACAGGCTTCATCACCAAAGGAATTTAAAAAATGCTTTTGAGTATTACATAGTCAGATGGGAGAAAAAGTGCTCAGCCAGGGGAAAATGATCACTGATTCTGAATGGTAGATAGCAGCAGTCTGAAGAGTGTTTGGAGGATGGTGTGCTGAGTGCTGATTAGCTAGTCACTGAGGTCAGGCACAAGCCACTATTTTTCATTCTGGCTAATCCATTGTAGATAATGGTGCTAATAAATTACAGGACACAGTAGGCCTCAGGGAATGCTCACCGTTTTCAAGTTAAGGCTTTCAGGACATCTTGATAGATTCTTAAGACCACTGACCGGTTACTGGAGACTCGGGATTAATTTGAGTTGAATGTTGACTTTCTGCTGGACTGAGTCCCACGCACAGTGTAGAGCTTGGGAAGGGTGGTTCTTCCCCCACCTCCAGCAGCAGGAACTCGGTGACTCCAAACCTTCCCGGATTCTTGTCACGCTGGCGAGCATGAATTTACATCGCTAATTCTTGAGCAGAATGATGGCTCTGATGTCTAAAAATTGCTCTTCACAGGAGTGAAGGCTCTATTCTCTAGTTCTCAGGAGGGAAAGTTAAATTTTTATTATGTTGGGGCTGGGGTGGAGAAAACCTCATTAAAAAGTGCACTTACATAGCTGTCGGCTGAGTCAGTGAAGTGTGTCTTTTAGCCCATGTATATATGGATTCATAACCAAATTTTAAACCTATTAAAATATTTAATTACTACTTATTTTAAGTATTAGTATAGAAACTAATAAAAAAAAAAGGCTACAATGTCAGCTTTTTAGCTTGCAGAAACGTTACACCATGGGAAATCCTGCCACATGGGACAGAAGTTTTTGCCTCTTCTCTCAAGCATATAAAAAAGCAAATGGCACAGAGACTGCATGTTAGTTTCCACAAACTTTCTTTGACAAGTTTGATGGAATAACTATAAAATGCTACTGGGAAACTAAGTATCCAATCTTGTACAGTAACAGAGAAGATGTCTTTTATCATCAGCTACCCATGGACACAGAATACACATTTCCTTAATTCTTACTCTTTCCCACAGGACTGTCCACCAACTACACAATATCTCTGGTATTTTGAGGATCTCTGAGGAGGAATAGTAAAATACTAGAAACAGTGGAGGTCAATGGGGGAATAGTTTGTACCTTTGAATTTTATAATCCAAAAATTAAATTTAAAAATACTAAAACAGGGGCACCTGGGGTACCTTTGGCTCAAGTCGTAATCTCACGGTTTGTGGGTTCAAGCCCCATGTCGGGCTCTGTGCTGACAGCTCAGAGCCTGGAACCTGCTTTGGGTTCTGTCTCCCAATCTCTTTCTCTCTCTGCCCCTGCCCTGCTCACATTCTGTCTCTCTCTCTCTCAAAATAAATAAACATTAAAAAATTCAAAAATACTAAAACATTACCTCACAGTTGTTAGAATGGCTGTTATCAATAAGACAAGAGGTAACAAGTGTTGGTAAGGACTTGGAGACAGGGGAACCCTCTTGCTCCATTGATGGGAATGCAGATTGGTGCAGCCACTAGGGAAGGCGGTGTGGAGGTTCCTCAAAACATAGAGGGACTACCCTATGATCTGGCCATCCCATTCTGATGTATGTCCAAGGGAAATGGAAACGGGATATCGAAGACATATCTGCACCCCCATGTTCATTGCAGCATGAGTCACAGTAGCCAAGATATGGAACCAACCTAAACACTGTCAGCAGATGAATGGATAAAGAAGTGAGAAGGAAGGAAATCATGCTATTTATGACATGGATGGACCTTGAGGGCGTTATGCTAAGTGAAATAAGTCAGACAGAAAAAGACAAATACTATATGATCTCACATGTGAAATCTAAAAACAGCTGAACTCGTAGAAATAGAGAGTAGCATGGAGGTCACCAGAGGCTAGGGATAGGGGAGGAAGGGAGGTGTTGATAAGTGGGTACAAATTCCCAGTTATAAGATGAATAATTTCTGGGGACCTGATGTCTATCATGGGGACTGCATTTAATAATACTGTATTATATCCTTGAAAGTTGCTAAGAGAGCAGATCTTAAATGTTCTCACCACGCGCACGCACACGCACACGCACACAAGGTGGTAGTTATGCGACTGGATGGAGGTGTTAATTAACCCTACTGTGGTAAGTCCCTGGGGAATATATGAGTGTATCAAATCATCCCAGGTACACCTTAAAGTTGCACAGTGTTCATGGCAATTATAGTTCAGTAAAGCTGGGAAGAAATCTTAAAAGACAAAACACAACACAGCAGTGTGGTTATACCGTGGAGTACTAAGCACTTAAAAGGATGAGATGATCTCTCTGTGTAGTGACACAGGAGGCCCATGGTACTGAGTAAAAAGAGCAACTGTTGGGCATACGTAGTACTCTCATTTTTGTTTTTAAAACAACATATCTGTGCAGTACACCCAAACATCAATACCAGTTCCCCTAGAGGAGGGGTGGTGGCCTGAGGTCACAGGGGGCTTTCCCTTTAGATATTTCAGTTACATTTTCCTACCGATCATGTTCTATGTATCTTTAAACATTTTTGGAAACTCTGCTTAAAACTAAAAATTCCAGCAGGAGGTAAAAGATGAAGCATTCCATTGTAAGACGTATGCAATGATAGGTTAAGTCAATATTAAATTAACCAGTCTAGCCATGTTTAGTTGTCAAATAAACTTGACAGTGCAGTCGCTACAGTAGTGCAGAGATAGGGAAGGTCACTTCAGGTTGATTGGTCGTGGATTTAACTGGAAATGAGAGGCTTGGCTCATGGTGTGGTTATTCGTTTGCTGTAGTCCTTATACCATTGATGTAAATAGTAACCACAGGCTTTTTATTTTAGGGGGATGGGGTCCTAAATAAAACACAGAGATGTGGACAAATAGGACAGTGGTTTCTTGTGTTGATTCTGCAGAGTACAGAAGGTACCAGAATAAACCAAAAATGTATTATTAACTCCTCTGGAAAGCAAGAATACACACACACACACACACACACACACACACACACACACACACACACACACACAGAGATGGGGCAGGGTGTGAGGATCTCTAAAAAAAGAGCTTTTTTCTTTTTCTTTTTAAAAAAGTTTTTTTTAACGTTTATTTATTTTTGAGAGACAGAGACAGAGCACAAGCAGGGGAGGGGCAGAGAGAGAGGGAGACACAGAATCCAAAGCAGGCTCCAGGCTCTGAGCTGCCAGCACAGACCCTGACATGGGGCTTGAACTCATGAGCTGTGAGATTATGACCTGAGCCCAAGTTGCCGCTTAATGGACTGAGCCACCCAGGTGCCCCTTTTTTTTCTTTTTTTTGTCTTTGACACTCTGAAACACCCTCCCTGGGACGCTTGCCAACGAGCTCATGTGTGGTGTGTGCTCGGCTGGCAACAGCCGTGTTCAAGCTGGCACTCTGATATTTCACAGGGAAACTGGTGTTCTAGACAAGTCACTAATCTTACATGGCTTGGTTGAATGTCATTATTAAGATCTGTTATTGTAGAGTCTAGTCATTTATTTCAGCTTTTACCGTGCTTTGTCATCCTTACAAGCTGTTATTTATTATTGATGCTCTGTTTAGCCTTTTATTTATACCTTTGGTTTAGTACTTAGCTGCAATACCAGTTATTCTTCTAAGAAGGTACAATGACCAGGGGCTCCAGGGGCTCCAGGGGCTCCAGGATCCAGCTTCGGCTCAGGTCATGATCTCACAGCTTGTAAGTTCAAGCCCTGCATTGGGCTCGCTGCTGTCAGCACAGAGCCTACTTCAGATCCTCTGTCCCCCCCTCTCTCTGCCCCTCCCCCACTTATACTCTATTTCTCAAAACAAACAAACAAACAAAACAAACATTAATAAAAAGGTATGATGACCATGTTTGAGTATCTGTGTTCTGTGCCAGTTTTAAAATCTTAATTTTTTTTTCCTTTATGCCCTCATGATTAAGAAATTTAGAGGCACTAACTGTAGATATCGTGCCTAGACTCTAAAACTTGAAACATTTCTAAAGAAGTAGGAACAGACATTCAAAAGAATTATCCTTTTGTTAGTAGTAAAATGAAAGACTTTGAGGTACTTGAAGCTTTCACAGTATGTTAGGGTAGTCTTAAAATCCCTGTCACCAGGCCAGGCAAATACATGTCTCCTGTCTTTAACTTCCTTGCATTTGAGTGTATGTGTGACAGCCTTTGGGCAGAGGCAAGAATAATTTGTTGTATAAGCAGAAGAGATTTCACTTTCTATCTCCTTCATAGACCCAGCACCTCAAGACAGTAAGTAGAGCTGTAAAGCCTGTGCTTCCTTGGATCCCCTTGGGCGTCCTTCATGGTATAAGCCCATCACTGCCCTTGGTGGATTCTGGGATTTAAAAGTATGTATTTCTTTCTCAGTCAGTTTGGCCCTTATTAGTGAAATTTTGTAGTGTACAATACATAGAGACTTTTTTTTAATGTCTGTTTTTGAGAGGGGGAGAGAGCGAGTGAGCAAGGGAGGGGCAGAGAGAGAGGGAGACAGAGAATCTGAAGCAGGCTGCATGCTGTCAGAGCACAGCCTGGTGCGGGGCTCAAACCCACAAGCTGTGAGACCATGACCTGAGCCGAAGATGGACACTCAACCAACTGAGCCCCCCAGGCGCCCCATTCATGGGTACTTTAACGTAAGCAGATCTCATGGATGCATTGACGCTGAGGTACAATTCCACTGACTCAGTACTGCACCCAGTACATATGTGTGGGATGGACCAGCCTTTGCGGGACTAATTGTTAGGAAAAGAAACTATATTGTTGCCTGCATGACTAGTATATTGTAAATATCATGTGCAATACATTTTTCTTGTGAAAAGTTTGTCAATAATACATTCGTTGTTAACACTCTCGATGCACTCTTTGATCATTTTCACTTCATTTGTTAAAATAACTTAACCAGTCTGTGCTTACATTTTATTTAGATAGTTTTATAATATTGGAGTGCAACTTGTCTTCATATCTCTACATAGAGTTCACATTAATTTTCCATAAGCCTGTCAATTCAGAATGGCATCTATGTCTGAAAATGCAGCATTAATCTGTTGGCAAGATGTATAGGTAGATCCCCCACATGTGTTAACTGGAGATAGGTGTGCAATATCATAAAAGAAAGAACCCCAGCAATATATGCTGTCATAGAATTTCTGATGGTATTACTGATCCAGGGATTTCTTTTAAGAAAATGTTCCTCATCTTGGAGTCCTCAGAATGCAGTCACCTCATTATTGTCCAGCCTATGAAGACCCTGCCAAGATTGTAATTTAATACATAGAGACATCCTCAGAGTAAAAATACCTTATCAAATACAACCTTAGCTTCTTTGCATCTGAAGTTTCTGGTACCTAACAGAGGTTTGGTTATTTTCATCATGCACCAGTAGGCGTGTGTAAAGCATTGGTTTTCACTAAAGCAGCTTTTTCACCCCTCGCGCTGTTAGCGTCTTGGGCCTGATAATTCTCTGTTGTCAGGGCTGTCCTGTGCATTATGAGATGTATAGCAATATCCTCGGCCTCTACCCTCTAGATGCCAGCAGCACCTCCCAAAAATGTCTGCAGACACTGCTAGCTATCCCTAGGGGCAGAAGCGCCCCTGGTTAAGAACCACTGCACTAAAGTAATCTTTGGCAAGTACCAAGTACGTATGATTCCTGGTGCGGATCTTTGCTAAATAGAGTTAATTGAGTGTAGACACTGTGTCAGACATTTGTGTGAACATAAATATAAAATTAATCTTCACGTGTCACATTACAATTTTTAAAGTGCTTTAATATATACGATCTCATTTGAAACTGAAACAATGTGAAGTGGACATTAATTATCACATAGGAGTCTGGGAAGTGGGAGCTTCTAGAAACTGGAAGACATATGTTTGAAATGGATACCTAAAAATAAGCTCCCTAGAGGAATGCAATCCAAGCAAAAAACTTTTTAATCTTTATTTGAATTGCCACTTAAACTCTTCAACATCCCAGGCATCTGCTTCCTGTCGTCTTGATTTGCCAGGTGCTACTAGAAACAGGTAATCGTCGGTGAGGCTGTTGCCATTGACTCAGTAAAAACTGCTGCTTCTGGGTTCTTCCACAATTACTCTGGCCTTTTTTCTCTTTAAATCGAAACCTCCTAGTGCAAGACTTGACTCATGTGTTCTGTAATTTCCTCATATTTTGCCCCATGGCCAGAGGTGCTAATAAGAGAGATGACGGCAGAAGAGGGAAGCCCAGTGACTGAACTGAGGAGTCTGCTCACAAAGAATACGTCAAGGATCTTATTATAAATTTTTTTTTTAATTTTTTTTAACGTTTATTTATTTTTGAGACAGAGAGAGACAGAGCATGAAGGGGGGAGGGGCAGAGAGAGAAGGAGACACAGAATCGGAAGCAGGCTCCAGGCTCCGAGCCATCAGCCCAGAGCCCGACGCGGGGCTCGAACTCACGGACTGCAAGATCGTGACCTGAGCTGAAGTCGGACGCTTAACTGCCTGCGCCACCCAGGCGCCCCAAGGATCTTATTATAAACATTAACATCTTGTTCCATGTTGAACCCGATCCCAGGAGGTTCTTTGTAATGTTTTTATTCAGTCTGTATTGACAGGAATTGATGTCATTATAAAATCTGAGACCCTGATGTCTGCTTTTGTTTTAAATTAGGCTATTACATCTGCCTTTATCCCTGACCGCCTTGAAGCTGAAGGCTCTGTGGTTGTCGGACAACCAGTCCCAGCCTCTGCTCACGTTCCAGACGGACACAGATCACGCCACAGGAGAGAAGATTTTGACCTGTGTCTTGCTTCCTCAGCTGCCTTCTGAACCTACTTGCCAAGGTGAATTTAAGGACAATACTCACATGGCCACATGCTCCTACTAACAGGAACAGGAGCTAATATCTATCTATACGACCTCTTACTCCCACATGCATCTGTAACTTGTCTAATATACTCCTCGGACCAGCCTGGGTGAGGTCACTGGGGGTCTCCTCTGGGAACACTCCTCTGCACCTTTGCAGAAAACATACCCCTCACACCTGCTTATCATATCTGAAATTCCTTAAACAGCCTTTTGGATTTGAACTGTGGCTAAAGCTGAAAATACAGATACTTTTTAAAAAGTTAACAGAGTCCCTTAAAATCCAAACTGGTGGTTTAGAGGATTAGTACTGAACACCACTGTGGAACAGCGTTGCAGCCATTCTGTTGTTTTGAGTCATTGTTCCTTTGTTTTGTAAATTACGTGTGGTTTTAAAAAATATTCATAGTAACATCAAATTGCTATAAAAATCCTTTTCTGAGAGCTGGTTTTTATAAAAGAGACCTAGAGTGCTCTGGGAGAACAGGAGTCCCCTAAGTGGAAAGGCCCCAAAGCATCTTGCCAATGCCAGCCTTGTTAGAAGAGCTTTTAAGACCCCAGGGAAAAAACAAGGCAGAAAGTGTTACTGAGGGAAGTACTGGTGTCCCAAAGTCAGTGTATAGAAAAGAATTGTGAGAAAGGATTCTACAAATTATGATGACATTCTCTAATGAAATATTAAGCCTTAATTTAACAGATCTTTTATATGATCTCAGATTGAATCATGCATCATTGAAAAGAAAGGGCAACCCTGTCCCAGACTTTTTTCTTTTCATTTAAATTTTTTTTAAATACTGCATAGTAGTTACCAGTCACATGAACCGACTTCCCAACTAATGTCGTCTTTGTCGTGACAGAGAACCTGCCTCGCTGTGGGGCTCTGGAAAGCTTGGTGAATGATGTCTCCGATGAGGCCTGGAATGAGCGTGCCGTGAACAGAGTCAGTGCAATCCGATTTTTGGAAGACGAGAAAGACGAAGAAGACAATGAAACGGTATGGAGGTGGAAATTGATGGCCTACCTGGAAAATAAGGATTTCTTTTAATTTCCAATTGACTGTTCTCTGCTTTGCCTTCAGCATGTAAAAAAAAAAAAAAAAAAAAATTTAGAAGGCAAAACTAGATACTTCTAGGTACCGATTCACCAAATGTATATAAAGCAAATGGAACTCTGTTTTTTGTTTGTTTGTTTGAATAGTGTATACTCTTTTTCTTTATTTGTGATAGCTTCCCTTCTTGCCTGCAGTAACTTGATGGGGAATTTTTTCTGTGTCTGTTGTTCTCGGTGAAGGAAGTCTCCTCCCCACGCCCGTTTATAGGTGTACCACATTGACTCCCTTCACATCTCGCAGTGTGACTTAGCTTGCCTTCTGTGGAGCCATGCTTCTGTGTCTTCTTCACGTAACCATTCTTCTCTTCACCTTTAGGCAGAGTGCTTGTGATATTAGTTGGGTTAATTTACTAGTTTTCATCCAAAAATCAAGAGATCTGAAAGTACTGCTTAGCCTTACTCCATTCACACTTGAAAATGTCTCTCAGGCAGCTGACATCTCCAGGAGTCAGTGACAACTCTCGAAATCTTACTACAAGTTGACTTTGGCTTAAACTCCTTGCACTAATTGAGATTTTCATAAGCAGAGCTGAGAGGGAGTACCTGCAGCCCCCAAAGCAATGTGTGGTTTTTAAATTACTGTCTGTAGTCTTTGTTATTCCAGCTGTCACCGAATGGGACTTCATCCATTTACAGTAGTGGATTACAAAGTAGGAATTAGTCATGAAAAAATAACTTGAGCAGAAATGACTCCTCATAGCTGATTCCTCCTGCCTTGTTGGAGGGGGATGATTTCACCCGCTCCTTCATGGCCACAACAGTGCCCTGGCAGTTTTGTGTTAACTTACTTTAGGCTCCTCCTGAAACTCCTTGGACAGTCCATTTAAAAGATACAGATACTGTTTTATGAGCCAGAGGGCATGTAACATGTCAAATAATACATTTTTTTAAAGATTGCCCCTGCCATATCACTTCACTTCCAGCACCGTGGCCTTTATTAGAAGACTGTGAACTCCAGTAGGTGACGTAAATAACACACACAGCAGCGGAATAAGAAAAGAAGCCCTTCTGTCTGTCTGTCTATCTGTCTGTCTCTCTCTCTTTCTTTCCTTTTCCTTCCACTTCTATGCCTCCAGGGTTGAAGGAAGTCAGAACCACTTGGGGTAATAGGACATTTCAGGGATTTTAAGTTTTTGACCCCTTTATCTTCTTCTTTCTCCGCACCCCACACTAACATCTTAATCTTTTTTTTCTTGCTGTTCATCAAACTTTATTTTCATATTACACTAATTTCACATTTTACAAAGTACCCTTTTATTGTGAAAGTAATCCTTCAGTCTTGACTAGACCAGTCCTTTGCCACGTTCATGTTCCCTTAAGTGCTTACTGGTAAGCAGCCGATAAACACTCGTGGGGCAGGAGGAGGTGCTCCCACCCACTCTAACTCATAGCTCCTCAGAGGTAAGGAGGCCACTGTCTCCCAGCCACCTGCTGGAAAGAGTAAAGGCATAAAAGCAAAACATTCACTCCCCTGTTTGTTTGCAGAGAACACTTCTGAGGCGAGCCACTCCACACCCTGGGGAGCTAAAGAATATGAAAAAGACAGTGGAGAATTTACGGAACGACCGGAATGCTGCTAAAGGACTGGATTCAAACAAGAACGAGGTCAATCACACCATTGACCGAGTGACCACTTCTGTATAGAACTTCACCTGCAGGTTTTACCTCCCGTGTCTCCCCCTGCTGTTGAGATGTTCCCGTGCCCTCCGGAGGAGCCTCACGCAGTCCTTTGTCTTCCCTGGAAGACGGGGAGGCACGCGCCACCCCCAGGCCGCCTGCCGGGGTTGCTGCTCTGTCCACGGATGTGCCTTACTGCGGTCCAGGCGTGCTTCCTTTCATCCAGCTTCCAGTCGTTTGTCATGATAAGTAGAATACACTACTGTAAACATCTGACCTTTGGTGTTGTCTTATGTTGGGGTCAGGGAGCACAGGAAGGGGAATTGTTTTTGTCCTCCTCCCTCCTGTAAAGCGCCCGGAACATTTTTCTCTTGGACCTACTGATGAGAGAGAGTTTTATGTACGGGGAATAATTGATACTTTTTTAAAACCTTTTTTGGCAGCTCAGATGGTGTAAATTTTAAAAAATTTTGTATAGGTATTTCATAACAAAAAAAAATGTGTATTTCTTTTTCGTTATTTTATCATGGAAACGGTACATATTTTAGTATTTGTGCGGGAAGAAAAGCGCAAGAGTCCTAAAGTGTTTTCTCTTTTACCATCCACTTGTGCCTTACTGTATCCTGTGTCATGTCAAACGAGTTGCACACAGCGACGTCCTCAAGCAGTCAGATGAGACTAAGAATGTGGTACTTTTAAAGCAGTGTTGGATTTTAATCAGTAATCTACCTGGTGGATTTGTTTTTAGCCAAAAAGAAGAGTTACCACCAATTTGTAAATTTTATCAGTTGAATTTTTTTTGTTAGAAAGATGAACCAAAGGATTAGACTGCTAATATTTCGTTTCTTAACACTTTTTATGAATGAGTCTCTTAGAATGAGTACAGTGTCTGATTGTACCTACTTGGAAGGTATATGCCATTTGTAAAATAAAATCAGAAAAGCACAAAAGGAGAAAACTGGTTCAGGAATCCAGTGAGTAAATGAATTATGTACTGCAAAAGAAAGTATGATTTTTATTGAAGAAAGCTTTAAAAGTTTTATATTGAGATATAAAACCACAATAAAGCGAAATAACCTACAACCATATTAGAAATATTGCTATCTTTGTAAGTGCAATTTAATTTGTAAATAGAGTTTGAGTCAAAATATAACAAAATATTGCTTCAAGTTTTAATTTTAAGTCTGCTAATTTAAGAGGTATGGGGGTATGTTTTGGTGCATTTCTGTTGATTTTTTTTTTTTTTTTTTTTTTTTTTTTTTTTTTTTTTTTTTGTATAATGTGATAAAAGAGAAATGAAAATGCCAGTTACTATGAGGAAAATCACGATATTGTTGGGTTTTTTGTTTTCTCTCCATGAAATAAAATCACCCTGGAATTAACCGTACAACTCTTTAAACTTATCACCTTGTAATGTTCAGATGATGGCAAGTAGCTGCATTCTTTGACAGTGTGTTCCCATCCATTAAATATCCAAACTACTGGTCAGTTTTGAGTTAATTTCTTGCCCTTTTGCCACACAGGACAGACCCCAGAAGTGCCCTTCACTCTGGCAAATAACTTCGGGTTATGGCTGGCCAATTGGACTCGTTAGCAATCTGCTTTCAACCAACCAAATACAATATCTTCTATTACTGCTGTGCATTTACTTACTGGGTTCATTTTCTTTTTCTCTCTTTTTTTTTTTTTT